TGCCATGCTTCAGACAGGCAGTCTTCCAAGCTGTGCCATGGCTGAGCTCTCAAACGCTGCCTCCAAGCTTGGCACAATCACTCCAGGGCTGCAAACCCAGCTCTGTCAGACCACAGAGCACTGGCAGAGCCCAGGACCCTACCTGCACCAATCTGCAGAGCACATCCTAATCCTTTTTTATACTGCAGTTTTTCCAGGCAAACACTATGTTTCCACTGTCCCTGGCACGCTCTGGTTCAGTGCCCTACCAGAAAAAGGAACACTGTCAGTGATTTCTTTAATTGGAAATAACCTTTCAAATATTAATCCAAATAATTCAAGGTTTCCCCACACACACACCTGAGCTCCGCCAAGGAAGAACTTTTGCTGGCAACTTTTCTTAATCCAGAGAAAGCAGAAAGGTGTTGCCACAGCACTGTGCAACTGAGTGATGCAGATGAGAAACACTAGAAACATCTTTATTATTATCTTCCAGTACAGGGAAAAAAAAAAAAAAAAAAAAAGGAAGCATACTGAAAAGTTCACTGATCCAATTTAGTTTTCTCAGTCTATCACCACTTAAACACTCCAACTCACAATGACAATAAGCTAAAAGTATGCATGCTTGTTCCAAGAGCAGAACCCTTCTCCCACACAAACTGGAAAACCACTGATTTATACATAACTTAGACATTTAGTAGTATTCCCACAGGACTTCTGCTTTCTTGTGTAGAGATGCCTGCTTTCAGAAGGCCCTGTTTTCATGGCTAATGGGTACTATTTTCTGCTATTACAAGCGATGGAGTCTTTCTAGACTAATAAGACCTATCACTAGTGACTCAGGCACTAGGAATACTGCCACGTCCATTTCTGACTCCTGAGGCTCACATGGCATGTTTTTTTAGTCAGCCTCAGTCCAGTTCATGTGACAGATGTCAGAAAACACAGCCTGTCCTGTCAGTCTGCTTCTTTCCTAAAGAAGTCGTCACATTCACAGAGCCCTAATGGCCTGTTGGAAATGCTTCTGAATCACTAAGGAAGATACTCACCCCTAACAAAAATCCTTCAAGTCTGATGAGAAGATTCATCATTCATCCTGCCCAAGCCCGGGGATGCAGTCTTCTGGCCATACTGTGAGGTGCAAGCTATAGCCACCTCCACTTTCCTAATTTATCTTGTGTTTACAATGTCTCAAGAGAAAACAAAAAAGCAAAGGAGCTTCCTTTCCCAAGCTACATTTGACAGAACTTGCTTGTCCAAGAACATCTGACACAGGCAGACTGTTTTTAAAACAGTCCTCCTGCCTCTTGTACCACACTGACCAAACTGAACAGCTTAGAAAGTTAAGTTGTGCCAAAAAAGGAGAGTTTAAGTCAGTATGTATATTAGTTTGATGCTGTATAAGGAGGAAAGAACCAAGATGTTCAGAGTATGAATTGGGTCCAATGTGATACTTGGTTATTTTACTCCCAGTACTACAGGGTAAGGAACCATTTGACAGCATGCGTCCCAGAGTTATTGCCAAGTGGTTTCAGTTGTGAGGGGTCTTGAAAACAAGCGATAAGGAGAGGGTTCATAGGCCTAATCTGCCCTCCTCAGCACACCTGGAATCCCCATTGACACCACAGGGGGGTTTGGAGAAAGCAAAGAGGTAGTACCTGGCCTCTCAGCATACCTTAGTACTGAGTTTTAGCTACATATTCCACACACGCACTATAAACAACTTGCCCAGTGCTGTCATTTGGGTTTAGAGCTGCCTATCTTCATTTCTGCATATGTCACTGCTGCTGTGCCTCAGACCAGTCTTAGGACTGCTGAGTGGTCGTGCAGTTTTTCTGTGCATCCCATTCATCAGAGCAATCCAGTCCAGTTGCCCTGAGCCATGCTAAATGGTGTTTGAACAATTAAGCTGCCCTACGCACATTGCAGAAACCTCGTCACAGCTCCCAGAATTTCATCATACCTTCTACACAGGGCTTGTGAAATCTGAGTAGACAAATGCCTTCCAGCCTGTCTCATCGTTAGAGGAACTTCCCCATCCTCCTCTCCCAGAACAGCAGAAGACTTGCTCAGGACACTCTGTAGTGGTGGTCACCACTCTTGTGCACAAAAAATAAAGCAAAACCTCACACCAGATACACTATTCTTCTAATGCAATAGGGAATGTAATATGTATCATGGCTTAAAGTAGAGGTTACAGTAGAAGATTTGTATCCTTAGTAACATAAGACATGACTTCTGGGTCTGCACTGGAAAACCAAATCGAGGACTGGTATCTACTGTTCGCAGATTTCATTACAGTTCTGGATGTCCCACAATTAGAGGTGAAGACATCTGTACAGGTAAGTAGTCAACATCAAGCGAACTAGATTAGTTAGTACATCCTGCTGCTCACCTGTTTAGCATGCAAAATAGTGCAATTCCCACTGAAAAAACTCACCCGTCAAATTCCAGGCTACCTTCTTGGAACTAGGCCAAAGTAAACCACCCAGTGCCAGAGGAAGAAGAGGAGACAAACTCTACTTTTACACTAGTTAAGACTCCTAACACACCCAGAAATGTTACCAGTGAGGTTTCACCTGCTCAGGTGCCTTGACAAACCATCTCCACACATTACTTGCTGATCAGATTTTATTTCCCCCCACAATATTAAATATTATTACTACGACCTTCAGCCCAGCCAGTATGAATATATGGCAAGAAGTGTCACTGGGCCAGTGCATTTTGATTTCACACTTCTTACCATATACATTCACACTGATTGGGCTGATGGGTGACAGCTATCCCTTGATCTTCTCAGATACACCATTACCCCTAAGAATCTGGAGCAGTGACTGACCTAAAATGTTACTTCTGCAGGAATTAGTCATCCTTCAAGTGCAGAAGCTGCTGTCTCCCAAGAGTTGAACTGAAGCAGTACTCATCACATCCATTAGCACAAGCAAACATTCACTGTTACAGTTTTAAAGTAACGGGCTCCAGAAGCCACATGCTGAGCTCATGACTGGAAGATACATGATGAGCACATGAAGAACATAAACAAAAGTTTAAAAACATTTCTGACTGACTATGGTAATTTAAGACAGTGTTTCCTACTGATGGCTGGAGGATTGCTATGTGGGTTAGTTCAAGTAACTCTTCCTCTGAGAACACACTAAACATGAAGAAACAGCGTTGTCAAAACACTAGCAGCTGGTAGTATCCTCTGAACTCTTGTGTTTCATCAACCCCCAGTTCACACTGTATCTGTCAAGCTGGAACAGACTGTATGTAGTTCTGGTAAACTGTGTTTTAAGACAAGGCAGATGCACTAGTATCAGACTGTGGTTACTCAGTCAAATGACACACTGCCTAAATAGACAATGCACTGGCTAAAGAAAGAGCATGTAGAGAGGCAGAAGCTGTTACCTGTGGGCAGAGAGGGAAAAGTATCCATGGAATGAAAAAGCTCCTCACTGTTTTCAGAGCTGGGTGAAGGCAGAAAGCATTCTGCTAGTTCACAAACAGAGGGTAGGTCCAATACGCTGCTCTCCTCTAAGTGATGACTTGGTGATGTCTCTTTTCCTTCCATAGTCCCACTGCAGAAACATAAATGTGATTAAGCTGGGTTTTTAGAGCATGAAAATCTAAGCAGAAGTCAACACAAACGATCTGGCATTTTTGCACTGCTTGATGAGCTGAGAGAAGCTGTTCTTGCATATTCGTACTTCGTTTAAGAAAATAAGAGCAAATTTAAAGATATAAAGGAAGAATAGCAAAACCCACAGACAACAGCCCTGAGCCCTAAGTAGGATAACTAGGAGGCCATAACAAACCTGGGTTTCACAAAAGCTTCCCAGAAATACAGATTCAGGCCCCAAAACTAGAAAGCCATGGCGTATATACCCTTCAGGGTATATTATGTCTGCAGTTTAAAAGGAAATGTGTTCTGCAGGGTCCCTTTCCACCAATGTCTCTAGAAGCAACAAGTTAAACCCATCCTTTCTGGCTCTGTTCATGAAGTTCATCACACTCACTAGAAGAAAGAAAAAGCATTTTAAAACTTGGTAGTCTCAATCTCAAAGGGATGGCAAGGATTTCCTGGTGTGGAGATGCTAGGGCAGCTGTGTTGTATACCCAGTGCACAGCACTTTGAAAAGCTGCAGTTGAAGCATCCCCACATCCCGACAACCTTCTCTTGAGCTCCCTCAACCAGTCCACCACTGCAGAGGGCAGGAACAGGCAGCTGGGTAGAGAGCAGGACAGGGCTGGTGCCACGCAGCTCCCTATCAAAGGCCACAGTGGATGGGCAATTCTTTTGGAGGATGAAACCCTCCAGTCAAGCAGCTTCAAGCAAAGCCACGCGAGTGTCTCAGGCAGGAGAGAAGTGAAAGGCACCAAGTGAACTTGGTGGGGCAGGACCTCAGAGAATGACAGGGAGAGCAAGTACAAATCCTTGGGCCAAAGTATGATTAGCACTAACTCAGGAAGAGGGGCTCTCAAGGAAAGATGCAGAAGAGCCCCAAACACACTCAATTCCCACCTGATACCTCATCCTCGAGCCTTTGGCCACCCTGCAGAACTCCTTGTGAGGCAGCTGAGACTCTCCACTAACAGTCAAGGCTCTGAGCAGAGCAGTGTTGTACTCCTGCTCACACCTCTAGCAACACCAAATAGAGGAAGAACTGACCCAGTCCTTACCACAAGGCCTTATGCCATAAGGATTTTCAGGCGGGAGCTTCACTTAAACACCCACTGAGCACTGATGATGGGACTGACTGGGGTAAATGTGAGCTGACACCATATTTTTTTCCTGTCACACAAGTAACAGATGAAGCTTTTTATGGAGAAGACATGGACAGAACAAGAATGCTTCTTGTGAAATGTGAATTTAGTTCCTAGCTCTTACAGAGACTCCAGGAGATTTTGTGCAAGTTCCTTCCTTCATCTGTTTTGTCTAATTATATGCAATTTAAAAAAGCAGATTGTGGCTATCTGAACCACCCCCTCCACCAGCTGTATCCTTCTGCTATTTTGGTAAAGAGTGATAGGACAGAGGCATCGGATCCAGTGGTTCAGCAATGGCTTGGAACACTGCAGGCTCACACTGATTTCCCCTTCTGTAAAATGAAGAAGGCAACACTCCCATCTCAGCTGTATTGTCAGTGAGGAATGCTACAGCCACAGGGGCCAAAGAAATCCCTAGAATGGATTATTTCTGAAAAATTAAGTAAATATCTCTATGCAGATTAAAAAAAAAAAAAAAAACAAACACCATTCCTTAGGTGTTTCTGAGTTGAGTAAACTTGCAGCTAAGATGCACCTCTGACCTTTGCAGAATGCCAACTAATTCGCTAACGAACAGAGTGGAGATGTTGGCTGCGATACGGGAGACCAGCTGCCTTGCCTTGGAGGGACAAGCAAGGTCAGTGCATTCACAGAAAGCTTCCAGGAAAAACAGAGTGGAAGGTTAAAACCAAAACAAAGTATACTGCCCAACAGTTACTTCCCAGGGAAGTTTCTCCTCCATTGCTCTTCATGTCCCAAAACACAGATGATCTGTGCATAAGGACCACAGAGAAGAAAAAACTTTCCTCAAATATCGTTTTCACTATTTGTGCTACTTTTTAAGTACATTAATATTTTAGAGAACAAAAGTGCCTACTTCAGTCCTTGGTCTAGAAAAAAAAACAACACACCAAAAACCCAACCAGTCTTACCCCTCCAAGGGCAGGTGGGAGATTATAGCAAAAGGAGCTGCTGGTGTGGGACCACAGCAACTTAATGCTGTCATCGATGTGGGTTGCTGTGATCCAGGCCATCTCTGCCAGCTGCCTGTGCTGGCCTCCCTCCTTGTAATGCCACAACAGGGCTAACACCACGTGCAGCCATGTGGATCAGGTTCAGATAAAACAAATCACCTCTTAAAACAAAAGCAAAATTTTTCCCCTGGCTCAGCTCCCTCTAATCCTAAATCAAGTATACAGCAGTCCTACTCCCAAAACTGATAGTGAGACTTGTTTGTGAGGATAAGCAAGACCTCAGCTCAGCCTTGGGCCTTCAGGCATGTGAAAGAGACACACCATTACCTCTGTGCCATACCTGGGAACAGCGCTGATGCGGAAGCAGTCCCCTTGGACAGAGTCCAGGAGCAAACAGTCTGTTACTGCTTCAGGATCCCCTCCTTCTTCCTTCACGGTCTGTGAATCCCAGCTCACTGGAATGAAACAAACAGGTCAGTTACATGTTTTGCATCAGCTGATCTGGCTGATGAATGGTGTGACCTTTCAAAGCACATATGCCAGCCGATGTCAACAGTCAAGTATATCACTGTTTGTCAGGTCTGGCACAGAGGAAAGTTTTTTCTAGGAAATAGAAACACCACATCTAGTAATACCCTTCAATCTTTTGACAGCAATGGAGACGTCCTGGAAAGGGGTTGGTACCCTCTAGAAACAAAGCCGAGATTTTCTTTACAAGGAGCTGCCAGATGGGCTGTTTATTCAAAACCGGTAAAGCAGTGAAGCAAATGCTAGCTGGCATTTTTCCCTTCGTCTTGTGGAGGACCAGGTATTTCCCCAACAGGTTTATCTAGCAGTGCTTTGACGCCAACACTGATAGCTTGTGCTGAGTCAAACCTTGACCAGGAGATGTGTTTTAGGAGGGCCAGTGTGTGGAGCAAGCCACAGGCCCAAGAAACCCAAATCCTGTTTCCCACCCTCTGCCATTACCTCATTATTTTCAGCGTGCAACCAGGACAAACGTACTTTCTGGAGGAAGCAGGACTTACCTCCAGGCCACCCTCAGACTGGTGGCATCACACTGCTGCCAGGAATTAATTTCTCAAACGCGTGCCGCTCGGCCCTGCACGAACACACTGGGTCGACAGCGTGCCGTGGGACGTACGATGGGCACGTCTGTGGGTGTGAGGTGCTGGCGTTACCAGCTGCCCCCCTCGGCTGGTTTTGGGGGGCGCAGAAGAAGGGGTTCTCTTCCTCCCAGTCTTGTTTCCTTCCCCCTTTCCTGCAGGCAAGAGATACGCATTATTTCAACGACTGGCAGTGAAGGGAAACAGGAGCAAACATAGGTCAGCCTCCTGCAAAGCCAGAACCCACCACAGCGTCATCATGGCTGCCACCTCCACCCCCCACCCCCCCCCCGCCACTGAGGAAAAAAGCAGGCTGCAGCACCCGCGGACAGCAAAACATCGTGGAGGGGAATACGGCGAAAGCCAAAAGCATGCCAGGGTTGCCCCGGGCCGGGCTGTAGCCCCACAGCCCCCTCAAACCCTCCTCCCCGCTGCCGGGCGGGAGCGACGGGCCGCGGCAGGACCCTCCCGCTCCCAGGCCGCCCTGTCAGGGAGGTGAAGCGGCCAGAGCCATCTTGGCTGCGGGCAAGCGCGGCCGGAGGGACCCCGGGCACGGAGCCGTGGGGAGGAGAAAAGGCGGCGAAACCCACGGTGACACGGACACGGGCGGCAAGAGGAGACACGGAGCCTCCGCGCTGGCGAGAGCGTCTGCGCGGGCAGTGGGTCCGCCCCTGGGGGCGGCTGGGCCGGGGAGTCCCGCGGGGCTGCGGGCGGGCTTTGTGTGGGGAGAACGAGAAAAGAGGAGAAAAAATACATAGAGAGAAATACGGGGGGGGGCGGGCGGGGAAGGGGAAATCAAAGCTGCTCCCAGTCAGGTTTCCTCAGAACACGTTTAACTCGGTTTTAATTCTCTGAATTCAGAGGGGAGAGGTTTTGGTACCACCGCCCCTCAGCTGGGTGAGGTGAGCCAGCAGCGGGGCAGCCAGCGGCACTGTCCTGTGCCTGGCACGTGGGTCTTTTGTCTCAGCCTGCTCCGGACTTGGTCGTTTTACACCGCCGCTGCACAAGCCCTGAGCCAAAGCGCTGGAAAAGCCCCGAGCAGCAGCAAGCACAGGGCTGTGCTGGGTCTGTGGGGTGGAAACATCCCAGAGGGGCCCGGAGAAGGAACAAACGCAATTCTCACCGGGGATGTAAGCCGGCGGGTAGGCTGTGAGTCTTCCTCCTAGGGTTTACAGAGCTCATCTGCAGTAATTCATATGGAGGTCAGGGAAAGGTGAGGCTGATACCTGCAAACTAAGATTATTAGAAAAAAGATATTTGTGGAATGGAATTAAGATCAATTTAAGATGTTTTAACCATTTAACAATTGTGCTGCAGAACAAATACTCATCTTTTGAGGAATAGTTGGAATAACTGTAGGATAAGGAACTCATAAATAATCTTGCTGGAAATGGTATGGCCTTGTAATGGCAGGTGCAAAGAAACATAAAGAAGCTGCAAATTGGCAACAAGACCAGACCAGGCCAGCCTTGAAGGACAAGATGTAGGTGACCGCAGGACTGAGTTTGTGCAGAATTAAGGGTCAACTGGCGGTCACAGTGAAGAAGACTACGAGCCTTCATCTGAAGGCCCCTGACAACCAGCTGAAGTCTCCAGCTGACATACACAAGAGACATTAACATATGCTAAATGAGTTCCCAGAAAAGTTATGAATATGATAAAAATGCAATTAATATGTATGATTAAGGTAGTATAAATGCTTGTTGATTTCATTCTCATACACACATTAGGAGGAGCTATCCCCTGTGTGTCCAGTGCTGTCATAAAGAATGCCTGTTTTCTAAAACTCCAAAATTGACTCTTGGAGAGTGAATTAATTACCACTTTCTGGTAACAAGGCCAGTCATTGGCTGCTGTGCAGCAAGGGTGTTCGTGCTCTTCCACTGAGGAGTTTAACAGGCAGCACGGTGGAAGCATTGCAAACCCTGCTGGGAAATACGATACGAACCAGACTGAATTTGGGGCATACACATCACTTTGGCCCATGGCACCACTGCCGTGTGCTGCAGCAGGCATGGTGACGAGGACCCCTGTGGCAGTCATGGGGGAGCAACACAGCCATCCTCACCCTCTTAACAGAGGGGTGCAGTGAGTGCTGCTGGACACAAGCCAGACACTTTCACAGCGAAGAGAATATATTGCTGTGCCACCCGACAGAGCGTGCGCAGCACAGCCAGACATCCCGGGACACCACTGCCAGTGGAGGTCAGGGAGCAGCCCCTTTCATTGTCTGGACAAGCAGTCCGGGAGCAAAGCTGCCAGCTGAGGAGAGTGCTGCAGGGGAGAGCTGGCTGCACTTCTTGGCATGCACACTGCCACTGAGACTGGGAAGGAGCTGGTAGGTTTTTTCCAAGAAGCTTTGACTGTGAAGTTGCAGGTGGCAAACTGATGTGTTTAGAAGGAAGTTGTTAAAAGGAAGGAAATAAATTTGAAGTTCCGTGGCTGCCAGGAGGGCTTCATTCTTCTCCCAGGTGAGCTGGCTCTAGCTGGGGAAGGTTCCCACAGGGAGAACCTTTGGGCCTGCTTTTCAGGCACAGAAGCTACAATTCTGCCTTGTACTTAGCCTCCCTTGAGCCAGGCCTGGACTTCTGGGGTCACTATGCAAGCAGAGATGCAAACCTAGCTACTTCCTGGGCTGTAACTAAACCCAGACAGCTCTAGTGCCAGGCTACCCCTTGCCATTCAGCGTCTCTCCCCAAGAACTACCCATCCCTCTGGGGAGTGGGATGGCACCTTTTCTGAGCTAAGGAATGCAAAACATCAGCCAATCTGCCTTATTTAGCTACGGGAGCACATGCAATATTACAGCATGCAGAAACCAGCCATCTCTGTGATTTCACCCCACTGGATCATCCCAAGTTTCTGCCATTAGAAAATCTCGGGCAGTGGGGAACGCCACTGGTAGGTACTGCTGGCTCCTGGAAAAGCAAGGAGCTTCAGCAAGCAGAACTGACAAGGAAGCTGTAATTTTTATTAACAAACAATGCCATCTTAACAGTTTCTATTTGTCATATTAGGTGGACAGCCAAGTCTTTGAACTTACCTTCATTTCCCACCTCTCCCTCACCAGAAGAGAGAGGTCCTATGCCCTCCTGATAGAGCAGTGCACTCCCTGGGTCCCCCTGCCATTATAACCTACACACTTTACCTTTATTCCTTACGGACTGCATTATCAACAAAAAGATCACATTTGCATACGGTATTTAGGGCAAGTCTGTAAGAGTGTACTATTCTCCTCCTTTTTATCAGTTTGTTAGTGTTAGCGCATGATAAAACTACACCAGCAGCCGTGTCTGAAGTTAATTAAAGCAAAAGGTACACAAGAACCAGGAAACACATAATTAAACCCCACACTTGATATTTACCAAAGTTCAAACTACTGAGAGTCACAGATGGGGAAAGGAAATATGTTTTCTGACTATTGCAGCTCTGTTACAATGTAAGTTTTCAGAGTGTTGATGGTGTTGGGGCCAGAGTCTTAACCTGTACAATTTCATGTCGTTGAAGCTAATGAGTATCTGCTGACTTACCATCTTAAAAACTTAGCATCAACAAAAAATCTGTCTTCATAAACAGTAGAACTAGCGAGTTCATGTCTTTTCAGTCCTTTTCCACTGTTGCACCACAGGGGAGCAACTCTGTCTACTCACTTCCTTCTCTCACAATAGCTAGATGGGACTTTAGTGCATGAAAACAGAGTAACAGCTGAATAGCTTCTATTCAGCAGGAAGTGCCCAGGGCAGAAAGGGTGCTAAGGAAACACAAACAAGGTTGACTTTCTCAGTGTTGATTTATATAAAGGTTGTTCTGTTGTTTAATAGAAATGATTAAACCCAAGTTCGTAGTCTGTATACTTAAGTGGTTTGAGTTCACAACGAACTAGCCCCTTGTTCTCAAAACTGAAAGCAAAGAAGAATATCAGTATATTTAAATCTATTTTTGCATGTGTTTTACTTCCCAGCTCTGGAGACTTTTACTAAGATGGATGGAGGATCAGGCTGTACTGGACTCCCATTCTGAAGTGCCCCTCAAACCCTACAGACAGTGCTTTCATGGCCTTTGCTCTGGAAAAGCCTCTTGCGGTTACCCCAGGCATGAGTGTTTTCAGGCTTCAGGCAAGCCAACGTGAGAAACAGCTCTTCGAACCCATGAGATGAGAAACTGCAACTTGCAACTCACCTCTACTCCTTCCAGACCAGTAAGGTTTGCTGGTGGTACTGCAAATAGCAAAGGGCTGAGGAAGGCTGGAAGAAAAGCTGTTTTCGACCACCCCATGAAAGGTAAGACACCTGGCATTCTCAAGTAACTTTTTGCATGATCATCACTCCATCACCTATAGCTGTGTCCTTTGTGTGCTCAGCTGCAGAGGCAAAAGACATAAAAGCTGCATGACGACAGCAGACACACAGGAGCATCTCCAAGCTCCCTGGTCTAAGTGTATTATCCATCCTGATTCCTACCAAGGCCAGACCTGGGTTAGCATACTTGGGGGGGAATATACTTGCTTACCTGGGAAAAAATCCCCAAACCATACCTGTGAAACCCCCCCAGAAAAAGGGGTTTGGTTGCCCTAAAGCTCATTGATTTATCCAGCTGTGTTAGCTGGTCAGATGAAGAATATTACCAGTCTCTCCAGATTTGCCGCACTTAAGTATCCAGGACCACATAAAAAGACACTGTGTGTTTCATGTTTTGCCACACCAAAGGCAGTCATTCAAACCAGCAAACCTCCCTGTAAAGGGTCAGTTCCACTTAAACTGAAATACCCTTCCTTGTCATTACTACCTCCAAACAGTGGTAACTGCAGGGCTAATGCCCTGCAGAGTTTGGACTGAACTATCACAGAGCACTTAAAGCTGATTCAGGTTCCTGGTTAACACTAAGGTCAACGTATAAGCTATCCTACTTGTCTTTCTCATGCATAGTCAAGTAGGCATCAACCAAGTTACCCCAACCCCATAAACTGTACTCCGGTAACTACTTCTCTTCAAGACAGGTTAAGGTTACGAACAGAAATGCAGTTGTCTGCATTACAAAAAGTGGGTCAGCCAGGCATCTGAAAAATTCTTGGCCTTCTCTTCCCTGGCCATAAGACAAGTAATGCTTTTTCCTTCCTCCTTCAGTAAGTAGAGGTTTAAGCCTTTTGCTTGCTGCGATCAACACCCTAAGGTACAGGAAGTTTCAAAGACCAAAAGTTATTTCTGTTGTACCACATGCCAGTAAACTGACTTCTTTTTTTTTTTTTTTTTTTTTTTTTCCACTCCCAGGAATCTGTTGTGGGTCTGCCAGAAGTATCTGACTTTTTAAGGTGCCACTTCTAAAGTCAACATGAAATCATGGGAGCCAGTTCATGTATCAATACCATGTCTTGGAATTTTGTCATTTCAGGAGGACCTCACTCTCTTCAAAAAGTAGTTTTCTGTGGCAAAGGCTTGAAAATGTGAATGTTGGGGATATTCTGGTACAAGCAGGAGACAATTTTTTTTTCTTACAGTCCTGTACCAAATCCTGTGTCTCTCCTTTGAGAGCCTTTGCTGGAATGGGCACAGAAGCATGGTTCCTACCCCTCTGATAGTACCTCTCTTCTTTTTAGGGCTACCCCCTTTGCATCTGCTGCTGCTTGAATCGACTATGAAGGAAAGTTTTTTAGGATGTTAACACTATTACTCTTTTTTCTGCTTAAACTTTTAGCACAATGGATGCAGACGTAGGGCTCTCATTTCCTCCCTACAGAGAGCCTTTCTGCATCACCATTCACTAACCACAAAACAAAAGCATTATGTGACTCCAGGACATACACAAGGCACACTGTAACTTAGCTCTCATCTTGCACCTAAGCATAACTTGGGTCTGTCTTAACTGTCGTTGTATTTCCGCCTTCCAGACTTCCCCTCTTGCAATGTGTTTCTGTTTAAGCCTCCACACCCATGCTCTTCCCTTGCATTCTCGCTACCCAGTGATTTTGTACATCCTAATTGCTCTCCCTGTGCTTGGGACACAGCTGCTGCCCAATGGCAATCCTGCACTTTGCAGGCATGATGAAGGAAGCACATAGAGCAGAGACATTTGGGGTAACAGGATGGGTCTTATCTAGGTTAATCTCTCAGTCTCCCTTTGGGGCAAAATAACCCTTTAAGCATTGGTTTCTCCTCTGCTGTTTATCCCCTTTCATTCTTATTTCTACCCTATGAATTGAGTGATCTAGAGTCTCTTCTGCTTCTTAGTCACCATACACATCAGCCAGCAACTGGATTCCATTAATCCTGGCAGGGAGCATGTGAGTTTCCAGTTCTTGCACTCCTGGGATCTGGATGGAAATTGTTTCAGCTGGACCTACACACATCTATACGCACATAAATATCCACCAAGGATCTGTCATGTTCTCATGTATTTGGGCCCTTAGGGAATTTCCAAAAGATGCTTCCAGCCTCTCTTCAAGTAAACAGTCCCAGGTGAATGGGAAATAAGGGCTGGCTTCTCACCTAGATTTTCCAGTGCCTGATAAAGTACAGAGTTCCAGCAAGAAGTGTCAACTGCAGCATTCACGCGCTTCTCTCCACTAGAATTCCCTCAGTGCTTAAGAGCTGAGCCACCTTCACTGACTTCCTACACTGCTAGGTTCTCTCCTCTGTCTAGTAACAGACTTTTGTTATAGCAAGCACATCAGCTCCAAGTTCATTACCTATCAGATTTGATCAGAGTTCAAAAGCAACTTGAGATGAGCACATCCACATTGGCTTTGTTTCTTCTAGAAGCCAGACTCAATAAAGAGAAGAGTCAGGACTTTAATCTAAAAGGCTGGCCTCCTGCAAGTGGGGTTATGATGAATAGAGTGAAACAGAAGGCCAGAGAGCATGGAATGCTGGAAGGAAATCACCCTCTGCTCACAGAAAATGTTACTTGGTCCCCCAGCAGTTCTCTCCACTGTATTGCTTCAGGGAGTTTCTAACTAGTTTTTGCAGCTGTCAGCCCTTCATTTTACTTTAACTGAGTTCTAATTCGTAAGACATAGGATTGACAATGGCTTTGGTATTAGTTTCACACATCAATTCTAGGAGAGCATCTTTATAATTTAAAATGGAGGCTCCATTCTAATCCTGTTTAGTCTATCTTGATTTGAGATGACAGTCTTATTACGCGCCCCATACATTATGGTAGGGTGGGTTGGGGCTTTTTGGCAGGGTTGGGTTTTTTGGGAGTAGTCACACTTTTTCCCATAATTTCTTTTTATGAGGTTATGGCTGCTAAAGTCTGTCCCTCTGCCAAGGTCCATTCAAGAAATGTTCACTTCTGGTGCCTGCATTCTGGCTGAGTCACAGCTAAAGGACTAAAGCTCATCAAACGCCAGATGTGTGTCAGTGCCCCTACATGAAAAGGGCTCTGCTGAGCTCTGACTCTCTACAGAGACATGCTGCTGCTGGAAAGGCAGCAAGAAAATGCTCAGAGAGCTGTTGGCTTCCAGTTCTTCTCCAGTACTCCACCTGGGCAGGGCAGGGCTCTTTCCTGAGCTGTGAAATGCTCACAAAGTCCTGCTGGTTTCCTTGGGAGGCCTGGCAGTTATGCCAGGAGGAAAGAAAAGGCTTCTCTTTGCTGCTCCCTTTTTGCTTCAGGCTATTCAGCAGTAAGAAAGTGGTTTTGGGTCTTCCTCTTGTGAGCTGTCAGCAGAGTCAAAGCACAATGGAAATTGCCTCCCAGCCTGGAGATAAAGAGGGAAGCAGAGCTAAACCTGGCAGAGTGACACATTAACACATTAAGTGATCTTCCCCTCAGTCTGTGGCAGCCCTCAGCTTGCTTGCAAGTGTTCACATGAGCTACCCTGATCCAGTGTCAACATTGGGAACATGTTATCATGCAATAAATCTACACGACCCCCTCAGAAGGAACACTAAGCTATCACACTCACCTGCAGCTTCAATCCTCACAGCTCCAGAAACCCCCACTACTACTGAAAGATTTAAACCAACAGTGTGTTTTTTGTTTTAAAGAGATTGGAGCCTTGTTGCTGGCTTTAGGCTAGAATTTCTGGTGTCTTTCTAGTTGCATTATTCATGGCTTCCAGTTAGCATAGGGAGCCTATCCTGTAATATCTTTTGGAGCAGGAAGAGCTGTGCTGCTTCCAGGGCTGGCACATACTCACTGCTTCTCAGCCTGCTTTTCCACTCCCAGTGCTGACACAGCCTGGGAGAAGGAAGACAAAAACTTTGGACTTGGGCTGAGGCAGGAGAACCCCACAAGACCTTTGCCCTGCTGGAGCACAATTTCATACACCGTGTTCCTGAGTGAGCTGGACTTGAATTCCTTGGGTGAAAGCACAGGACTAAGACTAACTCTGCATGTGAAGAGACACAGAAGAGGCCCTGCCCTCTGTCCTAAGGCTTATTTATTGCCTAAAAGCAAAAATATATTGCAGACAGAGCGCTGTTCTTTGTCCTTTGTCTCCAGACATAAGCTCCTTAACTGCTTTTCATGAGAGTTCCCTCCCTAATCTGTTATTTTTAGATTAGCTATTTTTAAGAGATTGATTGATGCCTACTTACTTTGAGGTTTTTGATGCTCACATTTCTCAGCACTGAACGCTCTGTTTTATTTGCAGTTACATCACACCAGTTTTTATTCCACTGACTGGATCACAGACAGAGTTTTGTCTAGGCAGGCATGGGAACAGAGACCTCTAACTCAAAAACCCAAATTAATGAAAAAAAAATAATAATAATAAAAAAAAAATCAAAGCTGTAGTGACTCAGTCACTGGCTCACGTTACTCTGGGAACAGAGCCAATTCCCTCGGGTGGAGACCTCTTTTCCAGGGGTGATACAATCTGTGAGTCCTGGCCTCTCAGCACTTTTTAAATCCGGGCATAGTAGATGACAGAATTTGGCACGTACCTCAGGGCTATGTTATGCTGACAGGCAGGTATTCCTCTTATACGTTCAAATGTAACTTCAAAGTTGCAGATTTTCCTCCTAAAAAGCAGGAGAGAGATGAGCAGGGAGAACCCTTTATTCCCCTCCAAAAAATCCAAGTTTGCTGATGGAAATCTACCAACTGCAGTGACCTGCTGGACCAGCATCACCGGCTCCCAGCGCCAGCATCACACAAGTCACTGGCACCGAATTCTCTCCCATCCCCACTGCCAGTTTCTCATCACCCCCAACTCGGATGGATGGCCCTACAAGACGCTGCAAGGGGCTCCCTGGCTCTGCAGAGCCCTGCCTCTGAATGGGCACCTCTTCTGCACCCTGGCCAAGCTCATGCAGCAAAGGCTTGGATGAAGCGATGCTAACTGCAGTGTTTGGCATCTCACCCTGGGGAATTTCTGCACCCCTCCTTTATACAAAAAAAGGAAACAGAAGTGTACCCAGACATGGATACCATTGTGGTTCTAGTAAGGGGTCATCTGATTGGGATTGAAGGATTTTGTCACCCTTCGTTCATCCCAGTAGGGCATCTCAAGTGCTCTGTACTTGCACATTATTTTGCTGAAGGTTTCCATTAGCTGTCACCAAGTCCCTGATCCCAAGACAGCAACGAGCCCAATGTTTATTAATGTGTTACCACTGCTTTTTTTCCAGTCTTAGAGGAAAAAATGTCAGAGCCATGGGCACAGCCTGAAACCTGAGAAGCCTGAGCTGGTTGTGGCTCTCTGCTTAGATTAGGTCTTCAAAATCAAGGGAGGGCAGCTCCAGGACCTGACAAGTCACAGCTCCTCTCCAATAATAAAGACAGGGTCTGGTGTGTTTCTGTTTAGAGGCATCAGAAACAGCTAGGAAGTAGTATATGTCTGTTTGCTACACTGCTACCTGAGCAAAGAAAATCCCTGTGTGTTCATGAAATACTGTCTTGGCTTGTTGTTACAAGCCACGAAACCCTATCGGGTTGTTCCTACAAATTTTTCCTCCTAATGGAGACAGCCATGCTGGATCCCAACTGCCCAGATTCACAGAAACCTCCTCTCTAGGTAAAGACAGCAGCCTTCTGCCTCTTCTGCACCACAATTCTGCCTGGAAGTTACACAGAGACCAAACCACACTGCCAGTCACTGCAGCTTTGTACGGCAAGGTTTTTGTACCCCAATCCAGAAGATCAAAGTCAAATGTTTCCAAGTCTTATGATGACTGAACTGACAAGAAATGCTGAATTTGTGGAATGCAGACATTTTGGAGGAAAGTTTGCAGCTTTTCAAGTGGCTATTAAAGTAGATGAACTTCTATATGTAATTCATATAGATAGATAGATATATTCAACCTGACAAAGGTAAACTTAGCAGCTTTTTGATAATTATCTCAAGGAAAAACAGTATACAGTAAGGCTTCTGATGCATGATCGCAGCATCAGTAATGAATCTTTGTAAGAAAAACACTATTCCCTAACTACACCAAAGAGAAAAACAAGGAGCTCCAGCTACTCCTGTTCTTCTGACTCAGGTTACTCAGGGCTCAGCATCAGAGGGCAGGTGCTACTCACCACAGTTTTTGCTGCAACTCTGAAATATTGAAGCCAAGAGTTCATTTCAAATAGCAGCACCAGTACAGGCAAGCAAGCAGAGAGATTTGTAATGTATTTTTGAAGACCAACAACTGGTAACTTAAGAGACTGAAGTGACTGCACTCAGGCCTCCAAACCACTGCTGAAGCTTGTATTTAAACTGAGCATACAGTTTTCATATTTTTAATGCAAAAAGCAAAGGCTGGAATGGCTTCTATACAGTATCCATTTTTACTTTTGTACTGTGCTTTCTTCTTACTAGAGCTAGTGTACCTTTCTTTCTTCATTTATCCTATGGTGGAAAGTACTTGTTTGCTTCTCCAGCTGGAGTTTCAATACACGCACAGCAGCTTAAGTCACCTGAAGCTGGGAGATGTTGACCAGTTCCTACTCTGGCCACATGAAAGTCTGTGACTTATTTCCAGCGTCACAATGTTGTTCAGAAAGCAAGCCAGACCCTCACCCCAGTGGTTGTGCCTACTATGGCAAAACTGTCACAGCAAAACCATGCACGTCTGTAGCTTAGAAGTGCCAAGCCGGTAATTTTACCTCCATTTGACCTTTTAGATCAGAAATTAAAGCAACGGTATATTTAACATTTTGGTGGGATCTGTTACAGCATCTGAGGAACAGCTGCTCTCTGGAACAGCCACTCCACCTACCAGTACTTGGTAGCCAGGACTGTTCAGTTGGTAGGTACACGACATGGGGACATGGCACCAGAACTGGATCTCCAGAGAGCTGTAATTTCCATGACTCACTTTATTTAATAGCAACTCACCATCGGGGGAACCTGGAGTTACTAAATAACAGCAACTTCCCATAGGTTGGAAAGAAATCTTGTCATTTTAAAGCACAGCATGTTTCATTTTACAGAAGTGAAACCAGCTACATGATTCTTGCAAGACCATTGCTCTGGCAATACATGCACCCTCCTTTCATCTACTTCCCCCCTCCCTTCCAGTCCCTGTCCACCAATTTTTGAGGAAGAGGATAGCTTTAGCAAAGCGGGCTTTGTTTCCTTTACAATATCCTCATTATTCTTTTAGAAAATCTCTTAATTTCTTGGATAAATTCAGAAAATATTTAGATAGTTAGGGTAACAAAAATCCAAAGCCATAGGAACCTGAGAATGGCTAGCGGGGGCAGGGAGAGGAATTTGATATAATTAAGGTACTGATGCAGGTTTTTGGGTTTACACAAAAGGAATTCCACCTTCTACTTCCCTCATAAACATCATGTCTCATGATGCTTCGCTCCCACTCTTAAACTCTGCATTGGCATTTGCTTAGCAATTCCCTGGCACTAATACAAGTTTCCATAGCAAAGGATGTTAAATGAGACTGTAATCACAAACTTGAGGAACTACTGAGGAGTGAAAGGCAACTAAAACAGACACGAAGCAGCACAAAAATGCAAAACATCCTTGGAATATCCCTGCTGGGAAGTCCCTGTTAGCATTGAGGGATGGTGGGAAAAATATTCCCTTTAGAAATCCTGCCCTAAGTAGAGCATCCAGAAGTCTATGAGCCACAGTTAAAAATGCCAGACTAGATCTGAAGTCCAAAACCATGACCGGATCAGAAGAGATGCTCTGCATCTACATAAATATCAAAGCCATCTAAAATCTTGTGAAAACTTAGGATAAGGGAATAAGACTTTAAAATTTATGAGACTTTCCCTTCAGTGCTTTAAGTGGAGCACTGAAGCCATTGGCCATCAGAGCTTGAGCTGGCATCAGCTGGCATGATTCATGGGCTTCAGTATAAAGAAGGCTTCAGAAAAGAATGAAAGCTCTATTTACAACTCTTAATGCCCCTTAAAAGGGCTTCTGTCTAAGAGACCCCCACCTATATTAGTAGAAGCACATCACTCAAAGCAAAGTTTAATCCTAGTGGCAGCAGAAAGAAGATATTCCTTCCACAAGGAGCTAACACAGAGGTGTCTCCTTGAGTGCCTGAGTAATTTTCAATCAGAACTGGCAAGGGGGAGAAAAAAAAATAATTTGACTTTTAAAATTTTGTAAACAAGTAGGAGGTCTAATGCCTTTTAGTGGGTGGGATCTCCCATCACTGAGAGCTATGGTGACGTCTATAGGGGTGTATATACCTCCCCTCCACGTGTATCACAGTTCCAGGGCTGGTGCTAGTCTCTGTGCCATTCATGCTTAGCACAGAAGGGAAATTTGAGTCATAAGGAGCTAAAGGTCTAAAGAGACCATGGGGATGGTCCCAGTGGAAGAGCCATCCCAGTTTTAAACAGGGGTAGTGGTAACGAGATGCTGGCAGAGGGCTGTACCCTCGCATTTGTCTCTGGCAGCTCCAGCATCAGGTCCAAACCCAGGATTACACGAGACTGCTGCACTCATGGCTGCATCTCATCCCCCTCCATCATGGTCCCTGGGTCGCTGGGTGCCATTTCACAGCTGGCTGCCACCAAAACCAGCAGCCTCACCCCGTCCCTTGCACCCACTGCAGTGTTCCTCAGGCCCCTTGGTTGAGCCAGTTCAGTGTGCAGGATCACCAGCCCAACTTTTCTCCCCCCACAGCCAGTAAGTTTTATGCCAGCTAAACCATCTCACTGTGGAATAGCAGATGTGGCACACAGGGTTAGAGGGGCTGCAACAACCAGCTTTGGGAGAAGCAGCTGTTTGGCACTGGGGAACCATTTGACCACCTCCAACATCTTGCAGGACCTCACCCTTCAGCGCAGCGACAATGTCTCTAAACACTCACCAGCTGAGCGCTCTTGCTGGTGAGCAACCCCCCAGGAGTTAAGGCCCCCCAGTCCTGCTTACACCCTGCATTTACCATTGCTCAGGATATCCATGCTACATGTCCTGCAGGAAAGTGGATCATAAAGACTACTGAAGGCAACAAAAAAACCACAAGCCAAACACCTCGGGTTCAACTGCAACAGCCAGATCTTTAAGAGATGGGTTGCTGTACTGTCACAGGTAGGGCAAACCCTAGGGCAGGGAACAGAACACAGCCAAATCTGCGCCTTCTGCCCTAAAATGGCCAGGGACTGTGTGCTGAAGCAGCACGGACAGATCCTGTCCTTTCCACTTAGAGGGACAAAAATTCACCATGCAAAGATTGCTATGTGTTCCTGTCATCTAGCACTATCTCTCAGCAGGAAAAACATTACCTCATTCGGGACCAGCATGAATAGTAATTAATTAATTTGAGACTTTTTAGTGCTAATGGTACATTTAGGTGCCCCTGAATCAAGTGAAGTGGATTTTTACATTAGCACTAATAACAGTTACCCATCCAGTTCCCTTGTGTAACTATAAAATGCAAGATTCATCTGAATATTCCCCTTGAAAATACATTTTTGTGTTGTGTAAGCCTTTAAAATTACAGATAAGGCTCCGTCTCTCCAAATCCAAGGACTAGCATGCAACTGCCTCCCAGTAACACATGCTGCTTCTGTAGTGCTCCAAATCCTTCCTCAAAGGCCTAGCACACTTTAAATTAAG